TTTTTACTTTTACAGAGGCAGAAAAAAGGCATATATCAGTTAACAACACTGTGTAAGAGTTCCAATGGCTTCTGACCCTGGGTCCCACCTTTCCTTTCCAGTGTCTGTTCTGGCTCAGCCTTCTGCTGGGTCCTCAGTGCATATGAGTCCCCATCTCCTTTGCCCACTCATGAATTGCAAAAATCTCCTGTTCTTTGTTGTGCAGGATAAAACTCAGTTTGTATCTGCCTCCTCTGCTGTGGAGACATTGCAGTTTGCTTCTGAACATCACAGATTCCTGGAGGACTTTTCACCTGCTTCATCCTGTGAATGATTTACCCCACAGATTACTTTATGAGAATGTAAAGCAATCCTTTTAAGGAGGCCATATTTATTTATTTACTTAGTTACTTACTTATTTAATTAGCTATCCATCATCTATCTATCTATCTGAGACAGGGTTTCTCTGTGTAGCCCTGACTCCTGGAACTTACTTTGTTGTAAACCACACTGGCCCATTACTCAGAGATCTGCCTGTCTCTGCCTCCCAAGTACTGGGATTAAATATGACCCTACAAGAGGTCATATTTCTGAGTAGGAGAACTCCATGGAGATGTAAAGTCAGTCCTTCCTAAATCCAAATATAGATAAAAATAAGATCCAAAGGAAGCAAGTGTCAAATACCCCCTCTAAAAAAGGTAGGTCATAATTAATCTGGATAGTTACCGGACCGTGAAGTAAAAGTAGACCATTGTAATGCAAAGGCAAAGAAAAAAAAGCAATACAACTCACAAGAAAATAGTTGACTAAAGTCATCATCACTGTGTTTAGGGGAAATCAGCATAAATGGCTAAAGAGATACCCATTAGGATAGTGTATGCACTTATATCTTAATTGAAAATTCATAAAAATACAAGGGATTCAGAAAGTTCTGTGGGCAAACAATACTATTTGGGCAATTAATCCAGGAAGAGAGTCTAATGGTTAATAATTATAAAACATCAAGCTAAATAAATCTAATTTTTTAAGAAATGAGTTTTTCTTTTTACCCTCTTAATTAGCATGAAATTTCAGAAATGTGTAGCACTGATAGGTGCAATCGCTGTCCCACTGCACCAATGGGACAAACATAAATATAAGTCATAAAGACATGGAACACATTAGATGTCTCTGATTTATAATTATGTTTTCAGGAATTTATTCCAAGGAAGCAAAACTAAAATTTACACACACTTATTACTCGTAGTGGTATTTATAAGATCAAAATTTTGAAAAAAAAAAAGAATCTCATATGTCGAGTAACCCAGTAGTAAGGCATATTTGCTCCATGGAATATTATTTAGTTATTTTTAAATGATATTTAAAGTCACAGATTAATAGCACAGAAGCGATTATGATAGGAAATATTTTAAAAAGAATATAAGTATTATACCACTTGCTCAATGTCGAGGGAAAAATGTGAAAATACAATGCTATCACTGTGCATGGACCAGAGCGATTGCAATGAACTGGACTCAATCAAAGCGTCATTGGTGATGAAAGTGTGGTTTGGCGAGAACCCTCACACATGAGTTATGGGCATATAAGCTGGTGCAGCAACATGACTTGACTCTTTTTAATGAAACTGAAGATATGATTACTCAATAGTGTAGTTGTTCCATTCATAAGAATAGAAGCCACAGAAACTCCTGCACATGAGAACTGGCATGCAGGAATATGCAGGAATGCCCAGAGCAGCGGTGTTTGGAAGAGCCTTCAATGGGGAATGTCTCTCTCTAGTATCAAGGACAAACTGGGGATAACTTATGTGAGAGACACAGCAAGTGAAAGGAACAGAACAACAAACCTCACAACAGAATGTTGAGTGAAGGAAGCAAAACAGAACAATATGTTCTAGGGTTCTTGTGTTCAAACTTAGAAAAGAAACCAAACCATCTGGTTTAGAGTTCTACACACAAGTGGTAAGACTAAAAAGAAATGGAGAGACTTGCCTATCTGAGCAGGTTCATAAAGCAGCTATAGTCACCTCCGGCTGGATGAAGTTCTAATTGGGCAGAGAGTGGAGGGCAGGGAGCTCCATCACATCAAGAACTGTCTGTTTTCATACCGGACGTGGTGGTGTACACCTTTAATCGCAGCACTCAGGAGGCAGAGGTAGGTTGGTCTCTGTGAGTTAGAAGCCAGCCTGGGCTATATTAGTGAGCCCCTGTCCCAGAAAGAGAGAGAGAGAGAGAGAAGAAAAGAAAGAGACAGAAACAGAGAGACAGAGATGTGAAGATACAGAAAGAGGTCTTTGCTTTCCTGAAGTGAGATATGATTTCAATAATGTTGAAGCTCTGCACTAATTTTTGTGTATCAAGATTGGTCTGTTTTATATATAAGCTGGAAATGCATCCCTCATGTGGCCGCAGTCTCTCTCACTCGGCCTGTGACCATGCTTGGAGAGAGTCACTGAAGATAACATAGCTGGGACAGCATGAAGCTGCCCTGCGGTGTGATGAGCCTATCGCTCTGTGTGTGTAGCATTCATTATGAAGACACAGCTATGTGGTGACAGGAGTCAAGGCAGACACGATGCTTCCACAAGCAAAGGGCCACTGAGGCTCACCAGCCATGGCCATCACTGAGATGGGTTCTCTTTCAGAGCCTCCAGAAGCAATGGCCCTGCAGACACCTTGATGTCAGACTGTCCTCTCATGGCTCAGGAAGGGTCACTTCTTTTTCTTAAGTTTTATTATGGAAGTTGCTGAAAACTAATACATTGTACCTTTCTATTAAAAAGTAGTTCCCCAATGTTCCCTTTCTGAGCTCTAATTTTTAGGAGAAATCAAAAGAATCTAAAACGAAAAAGTATTATCTATTCTTTTGAAAAGTTCTTGCTGGAGACACAATTCAAGTTTAAAAATGAAAAGTTTCAGCTCAGAAAAGGTGACTCTGCCATGAATTCAGTTATCCCAAGAGGTCAAAGGTCAAGAGTAAATGTCCAGGTTTTTTAAAAACAAAGGCAGTGATTCACTCTGAGTTGGCCTGTGAAAACTTTATCCTGAGTCTTTGATTTCTTTTCTCACTGGAGATTCTCCAGCAGCTGAAGTGACCCTGCACACGACTTTCAGGAAGACATTTGTAGTTACTCCACTTCACTCAAAGGCAGATATCTGACGAGAGAGAAGACCTCACCTAGAACCCTTCCAAGTCAGAATACTGATGACCACAGGCCCAGTGAAGATGGCTTTGATTTCAGCCCTGCTTCCTGCAAGCCAGAAGAGCCCAGTGTCTGCCCAGCCACACACTTGGAGAAACCTCACTGGAGAGTTGATTCCTTAACCAGACACTGAGCATGCCTATGGGAGAATTCCCTTCTTAAATATATTCTGAACAACCAGGGCATGCTGTAAATGAAGCCAAGAAGGAACTACCCATGTGGGAAAACTATTTTTTCAAATTTATAAAATGCAACGGTGTTTCTACTACATTGGGTTTTCGTATAGCAAACAATATAAAGTTTCCTGCAGAAAAATAATAATGAGGTAGAATGGAATTATAATAAGGGATTTTTTTTTCCCAATCCGGTCTGTCTACTTGCAGATTTCTGTTCACAAGCTCACTAACTTGGTGTGCTTTGTGCAGAATGTTAACACAAGGATGACTTCCCCCAACTGTGAAGTCAGGGTGGAGAGCGCAGCTACCGCAGAGCTGCAGGAGAGTTCGTGAGGCAGTGTATGAGACACACTGAGATGACAATGCTGCGCATGGTTCAGTTCCAAGTCAACCCTAGTTACAGCAATAACAATAACACCACCACCACCACTAATAACAGTAACAGCCTCTTCAGACTTATATTTGAAGTTCCAAGTTAACCCTAGTTATAGCAATAACAATAACACTACCACCACCATCACTAATAATAACAGTAACAGATTCTTCAGACTTATATTTGAAGTTCCAAGTTAACCCTAGTTATAGAAATAACACTACCACCACCACTAATAACAGTAACAGCCTCTTCAGACTTATATTTGAAGTTCCAAGTTAACTCTAGTTATAGCAATAACAATAATACCACCACCACTACCACCACCACTAATAACAGTAACAGTCTCTTCAGACTTATATTTGAAGTACCTATAAAAATTTCCAGTAGAATTATTTATGATTCTGGCCCTTAGGGTCATTTGGTCTACCTTTTTAAATTAGCCAAAGAAGGAAATTTCTCATTTCTCAGGTTAGTCATTCTAATTTTCTTATCAGAAAAATAAAATTCAAGCTGGTTTCCTGGTCTGCTAAGTAAGTGGGTTGCATGAAATCATTTCTAAGGTGCGGTCCAAGCACAAACACTTATCTATCAAACACTTTTGTCAAGCATTGTCCATGTTTTGGCTCTTTTGGTGACTATTTCTATAATGCTAACTTCTTACACTTCTAAACGCAAAACTGTGACCTTTAGCTCTTTTGGTGCTAAAGATTGTGTGTGTGTGTGTGTGTGTGTGTGTGTGTGTGTATGTGCGTGTGTGTGCATGCCCGTGTGTGCATGTGTGTTTACTATATTCCAAAGACATAGCTGGTCCGACCATGTGGGTCTCAGACATCCCATGGAAGTAGACAGACTTTGGTGGTGAGCTCCTTTACTGCTTGTCAGCAATTAACTTAAAAATTTCAAAAAGAAATTATGCATTAAACAGTGTTGGGCACTATAATGATATAAAATATTTTGTGAAGGAGATCACTTACTTCCGAATCCACCTGGGAATGAAGAGTTGGAGTCCAGCAGTGCTTGTCCAGACTTCGGGAAAGATTGTTAGTTCCTTTTCCGGGATACATTTGTTGGTAGTCAGGGAGATGGCAGCGCTGGCATCAGGAGTGACTTACACTAGCGCCATCTTGGCCCTTTGTGGCTGGGCCGGGGTCATGCATGGCTGGCGGGGGTTAAAGAGAATCCCCGAAAAACAGTCTTGCTCATACAGATGGAATAACAATAACCATAGACATATGTTTAAATTGTCTGCTGTCATTTCACCTCACAGGTGCAAACGTGAACATGAAAACCAACAACCAGGATGAGGAGACACCCTTGCACACGGCTGCCCACTTTGGCCTGTCCGAGCTGGTGGCCTTCTATGTGGAGAATGGGGCCATCGTCGACAGCCTGAACGCCCACATGGAGACCCCGCTGGCCATCGCCACATACTGGGCCCTCCGCTTCAAGGAGCAGGAGTACAGCAGGGAGCACCACCTCATCTGCCGCAAGCTGCTGGACAACAACGCCGAGGTCAACGCCCGTGACGACGACTTCAAGTCCCCTCTGCACAAGGCTGCATGGAATTGCGACCACGTGCTCATGCACATGATGCTGGAGGCGGGCGCCGAGGCCAACATGATGGATATCAATGGCTGCGCGGCCATCCAGTACGTGCTGAAGGTCACCTCCGTGCGCCCTGCTGCACAGCCTGAGCTCTGCTACCAGCTGCTGCTCAACTACGGGGCTGCGAGGATCTACCCCCCACAGTTCCACAAGGTGAGGTCAAACAGAGCTGTGCCCTCCGATCTCCCGGAGATTCCAGCTTGTTCAAGATGAGTCTTGAACAGCCCTGTCTGACCTGTGGACCTGTGTAAGACCTCCTCATCCTCCTTTACACTTTTTTTTTTTTTTTTTTTTTTTTTTTTTTTTTTTTTTTTTTTTTTTTTTTTTTGAAATTCGGGCAGGAGCTAGAAAGTCAGCCCATAAGGGACAGGCAATTGTTCCTACTCAACCACTGGTCTAAAGACTCCATAACCTGCTTTGGAATAAGTTAGCTTACAGCCAGGAAAGATTTGCAGTCTTCCAATTTGACAAAAGCTAACAACAATGTAAGCTAACACATAGGAACCACTAATGACTTGTAATGAGTTCAGTTGGTTGTTATAAACATTTTGTATTTGCTTATTTGATTCTTGTAATAATCCTATAAGGGATGCATTGTCTCTGTTATGCAGCAGAGGAATCTGGGGTGCCCAGTCATGTCTGAGCTCCTGCAGTGGTGGGCTTAGGACGGACCTTAGATAATTTGATTCAAGGATTTATTCACGTAATATCATACAGCATGACCTCTTTCTGAACAATGCTAATTAATAACCTCTAATGGTCTGGCAGGGACTAGATGCTAATGATGTTGATATGACCAAGACAAGGTACCTACTCGAGCAGCTTAGAGTCTATTGGGAAAGAAAAAACACACACACAGAGGTCATTTTAATATGCACAGTTCATGATAAAGTGGAAGAATGCAGGAGATGCCAGCATCAGGTTAATGATGATCATTAGTTTGGTAGTTAAAATGAATTTAACTTTTAAAAATAAACCAGGAGACACTGCAACTCTAAAACTTTAATTTAAAGAAGCCAGAAAAATTGAGGAATAATCCTCCTAACTGGGGTGGAGCCACCACCTCCCATTCATATACAATTTTAAGGCATCCTGCCTAAGTGTTCGGTGTCACTTTGGTAAAAGGTCAGGGACTCACCTATGGTCCAGCAATGTAAGGATACCTTAGGGGGAAAGTTCTCAAGATAGGAATGCAGTCAGAAGGGCTAGTGTGCATAGCTGGTTGGTCCAGTAGCACCGGAGAGGCATAGGCGGGAGGCCAACCTGGGTCATATAGTAAGACCTTGTCTCACAAATTGAAAGAAAAAATAAAAAACCCAAACAACTAAACAAACTAAAAAGAAAAATAAAATAATAAAAATCCTTTAAGAGTATAGAATTCAATGAAGAAAAACTGTAGATAGTCCAAAGAGCATTCAGTTACTGAGTTAAGTTATGGTGAAGTCAGTCCTGTTGAACACAGTAGGGATTTTATATCTGGTTGTCAGTGTTTGAATTGAGGGTTCATTTTCTTCCCTTAAACTTATGCCTAAAGCAGAGGACACCCCCAGACTTGCTAACATTTCTATGGTTAATACGAAACGTGACGGTCATGTGTTCCATTCCCACTGAAGTCCGATCAGGATCCGAGTGCTTCGAGAGCACTGCCCACAGCACGGTCCGCTGTGTCTCACACAGCTCCGGCTCTCCGGGTTTCCGTCGGCTTCTATGACGGCCGAGCATGCAGCAGCCCTTCACCTAGGAATCTGCTTCTGAAGCACTTCCTCTACCACTGTTATAATCACCCTAGCAACCACCCACCTGTACGTATCGCCCACAATAGACAATGTGCACACTGCAGACCTTTACGTCACTGTTGTACCAGGCTATGCTGAGGGCTGCTCCATCCTTCCAAACCAAGTTTGTATTTATCTCAGATTTTAACTAGTAATGATCCTTGTCTCAGGATACCTGTTGAATATGTCTACAAGGCCAAGAATCTGTAGGCACTTAACTGTTACTTTTTTTGTAATTTAGCTGGGTGTCGGTGGTACATCTTTAATCCCAGTACTCAAGAGGCAGAGGCAGGTGGATCTCTGTGAGTTTGAGGCCAGCCTGGTCTACAGAGCGAGTTCCAGTACAGGTTCCAAAAGCTACTGAGAAATCTTTTCTGCAAAAGTCAAAAGAATCCCCCCCAAAAAATACCAAAAACAAATACATTTTTTTGTAATTTCTCCTTTCTTGCTTTTCTTTTTTATCTTTACTTTGTCATCTATTTCTTATTTATTTTAGATTTAGACACTCTGCTCATAAAAAGGACAAAATATCTATAAAAAGAAATTTGAAATCAGATTTTGGTCTTGCTACTTCAATAAGGGAGTGATTGAATAAATTGCTAGCTTCCTAAGCCCCAGTTTCCACATCTGTGAAGTGGGCATTCTTGGCTTAAATTCTTTGGTAACGCATGAACTGTATGTGAACACAGTCCTTTACCAGGAAAATGCCTACACCCACTCATAGTGCACCATGCGTGTACTTAGAAGATGCGACCAGACATTTTTTACTCTTTTTCTTGAGGGGCTGCCAGTCCTGGCAGACTGGCACCCATTTCTGATCTTCACTGTCTGTCTGTCTCTATAACCACCTCCTGTTTCCCCTCCTTGAACCCACTCACACCTTACTGGGTTCTTATTATCTAGTGGATAGACCAAGTACACAGTCTCTTACTGGGTTCTTATTACCTAGAGCCGAGTACCAGACCAAGTACACAGTCTCTTACTGGGTTCTTATTACCTAGAGCCGAGTACCAGACCAAGTACACAGTCTCTTCAGCGCAGCTCACTTCAGAAAGTAGACTTTGGTGGGCTGAGGAACAATCAAGAACACTTGGTGCTCTTGTGGAGGACCCAGGTTCAGTTCCCATCACCCATATTGGGTGACTCCCAATAGCCTGTAACTTAGCTCCTTGGTACGCATATGCACATGCTCGTTAAAATTAATATAGTAAAATTTTAAAAAAGTTTATTCACTCTATTTATGCTTTCACACCATTTCCTTGCATGGACAAGGCTGGAGGGGATATAGGTGATAAAGGTACCAGGGCAGTGTGCTGTCTCGCTCTGTCGGTCAGTTACAAGTCTCCTCATAGCTTTTCCATTTATTTATTTATTTATTTATTTATTTATTTATTTTAAAATTGCGTGAGGTATTTGAAAAATGGTTGGTATGGCTCCTGGCGTATGGCAGCCTTCAGTAAAGAATGCTATGGTTCTCAACATGGCATCAAACATCTTTGAGCGCTAAATCATTGCTGTGGCTCTGCTAGATTGAAGGGGCATCCCCAGCTCAGGGATGGGTGCTGTCGGGACAGTGCCCGGAGCCCGAACGCTGAGCTCAGCCCAGAAACTCACTGCTGAATGAGCGAATGTTGCAACTCTCTCTCTCTCTCTCTCTCTCTCTCTCTCTCTCTCTCTCTCTCTCTCTCTCTCTCNCTCTCTCTCTCTCTCTCTCTCTCTCTCTCTCTCTCTCTCTCTCTCTCTCGTAATTTAAGACTGCCCCTCCTCACTCCCTTCTTAAGGCTAAAGTAGTGAGAATAGACATTCAAAGTGCTTCTGTTTTGCAGTAAACATCTTGGGAGTTTGTGGAGGTCCGAAGTCTTTCCCACATAGACGGTCAGTTCTCTGTTACTAGAAAGAGAGGTCTAGTGATGCTGAGCACAGTGTCTACTTGGCCATGTACTTGCGGTACTATTTTTGAACACCTTCTCCTAACTTTCCTATTTGAATCGTGCAGGTAGAAGCATGAATTTTTCAGCAGCATTTAAGCAGAGTGGCTGTGGCATGCCCACCAGTCTGGTGAGAGTGTTCAGCCAGTTTCCCTGTCTTCCTCTTCCTTGTCCTGTGGGCATTTGGGGCAGGGTAAGAGCTGCTAGACCTAAACTGGCTTGCAGGCTCCTCCAGCGTTTACAATAAGTACACAGTCTTGTGTCTCAAGGAACGCTGGCCGCACCATCAATGTTTTCCTACTTGGTTTTGCTTGCTTCTCTAGCTTCCTTGGTCTGGCTGATTGCTAAGGAGATTTAATGTAGACCTGGCTGCTATTATCAACCATTTTGTTGCTACCCTACAGATGTGTGTATGAACGGCAAAGTGGAAGAAAAACTATTCAATTTACTATGCAGATGCCTGAAAGTGATTTAGAACACTACTCCACAGCCCGACTCTCCTAAGAGAAAGTCATCCTTATGACAGGCTAATGACTGCCTCATTTATCCAGAAGACAAAGTGATTTGTTCTCTCCTGGATGGGGAATTCAGTTTCCTTATTTACAAGGAGCAAGGTCACAGCTGCAGATGCTGTCTTCCTGATGCAAAGTGGATGGGGAGAGGGCACATTCCACTGAGAGCCACTGTATAAATTATATAAGCGAGATGGTGGGGGTGGGAGAGATAGGGTCTGTGATTGCTTTCCAGGCTACCAAAGGACATTTGATTTTTCGTTCTTCCAACATAATTCAAAAGGAAGCAACACCCCAGGGAGCAGAAATTGAGATTTCTTGTAGGGCAAGAAAGACATTTTTTTTCCTAGGGAAGGGAGAGATAATGTGAGGATTTGGGGGAGGTAAGGATGATTTCTGCCGCTGAACAACATTGTGTGTGAAGGCCATTGCTCAAGATTCCCTTGAGAGTAAGTGGATTTTTGTGTGTACAAGAATATAGCACCATACAAGATTCAAGGTAGCTTTAGGATAATTTCTTACTGAAGTGTCTTACAAGTGGCATTTGAAAAAGTTGGGGGACCATCTTTAATCTGTGTGTGTGCATGTGTGTGCGTGTGTGTTTCTCTCTCTCTCTCTCTCTCTCTCTCTCTGTGTGTGTGTGTGTGTGTGTGTGTGTGTAAAGACACTGTATAATACTATTCAGGCATGAATCGATTGTCCCATTGATATCTAGGCTTAGGAAAACATTTTCCTCATCAGCCATGGCAGAAGCTGATGTCTACGGTCTAGAAGCTCCTGCTATTCAGGCTACTTGTGATGACTGGGGGAGACAAATGAAATAGATGTGGTGACCTTAGAGTCCTCCTCTCCTTTCTGTAAATATTGCTTGCACATGGCTCTATTCATTCTCACAGTCTCTGCTTGTTCCTGAACTCACTGGGAGCTGGATTTTATCACAAACTATTTAGCAGAAAAAAATTCAAGTTCCCTTGTCTCGTGTTTTCATGAGGCAAGTTCTGGTAAAATACTGCCTCCGCACCAGCCTGTGTTTTCCACTTTGCTATTCTGTTCAGTCGACTGAGAGATGAAGGAGACTGAGTTGTCTTACTGAACCTCAGACTTAGAGAACACAAGACATCTTTGTTAGTCAGGGTAGCAAGACCCCAGAAACGAGCTCGGCTCCCAGAGAAAGACCTGCAGTCAGAGGGCAGAAAACTCATTTCAGAGTGCAGTTTCAGAAGCTCTATGTGGCTGATAGTTTAACAGTGTGTGTAATGAGCTTTCCACAGTGAAGATGGCTTTCTGATCTCCAATTGTTGGTCATCCTCATCTTACTTTTAATGGGTTCTTTATTCGTAGGGGAATGTGACTTATGGGACCACTAAAACACTGAATGCCGCAGCATGGAAGGTCTCAAAGGCGAGCATGTGTCATCCCTTCTGTCCACCATTCTCAGTTATCCCACAAGATCTGCTTCACACCTTTTCAATTCACCTACAAATAGTGGAAGAACTTTGGTGGGCACAGAAACTTCTGTGGAGGTGTGTGTGTGTGTGTGTGTGTGTGTGTGTGTGTGCGTGCGTGCGGTGGTGTGTCAGGGATAAGCACTCAACATGGAGAGGAGTCTTGGCAAGAGAAATGGGCATTACAAATGGTGGCATCTGTAGAACACACACAAATATTCCTACGTACAGCAGAGCCTAGTGGGAGGCTATACTGACGCTAACCAAGAGCTTCCTTTCCTTTCACTCTGCCTCAGCCAACCTGTAGAGAGGTGATGCATTTACTGCACACATACACGCATACACACACATACTTACACATATGTACATGTAGGTGAAGCCTCTTCATTCATTCCCAGCCTCTTAGACCTGAAATAATCACACGGAAACTATATTATTTGCAATACTGTTAGCTTAAGTGTATTTTTAGTTAGCTCTTATACCCTGAACTAACCCATCTCCACTACTGTGCACCATCAGCCAGAACCTGGAAACAACCTAAGTGCCCCTCAACCGAAAAGTGTATGAGGAAAATGTGGTACATTTACACAATGGAGTACTACACAGCTGAGAAAAATAATGACATCTTGAAATTTGCAGGCAAATGGATGGAGCTAGAAAGCATCATATTGAGTGAGGTAACCCAGACCCAGACCCAGACCCAGAAAGATGATTATCATACTTACTCACTCATAAGTGGTTTTTAAACATAAGGCAAAAAAAAAAAAAAAACCAGCCTACAAATCAGAATCCCAAAAAACCTAGACAACAATGAGGACCCTAAGAGAGACATACATGGATCTGATTTACATGGGAAGTAGAAAAAGACAAGATTTCCTAAGTAAATTGGGAGCATGGTGACCATGGGAGGGGGAGGGGTTTGAAGGGGAAGAAAGCAGAGAAAAATGTAAAGCTCAATAAAATCAATTAAAAATATCATAACTAACATAAAAAAATCTGTGCATCACCACAAGATCGTGCCTACCAGCATAGTTTTGGCTGACTCCAGCAAAGGCATCTGTCTCCAGTGGCAGCTATATGTCTTCTCCCTGACTTTGCCTTTCTCTCTCTCTCTCTCTCTCTCTCTCTCTCTCTCTCTCTCTCTCTCTCTCTTTTAAGCCATTGGCCAAAAGCATCTTTGTTATTAACCAATGGCAATAAAACATATTCACAGCATACATCACCACACACACACACACACACACACACACACACACACACAGATGTGGTACATAAAGCGCCACAGACCTTTCTACTGTCCAAGACGTTTGCTCCTCCCTGAGACCTGAACTGACTGGCTCCAGTCCATACAGCTCTCTGGCATGGAATTAATGCATTTCTTATATTTAACTTTTTTCAACTCTATTCTTAATTTTTCATCGTTGCTGTGTGTGTGTGTGTGTGTGTGTGTGTGTGTGTGTGTGTGTGAGGGCAGGGTACACTGAGTATCCCAGGTTAGCCTTGGACCCCAATCCTGCTTCAGCCTCCTTGGAACGGTGATGTTAGGCGTGTCCTGGTTTGTGAGAATTTGACTCATATGCACATGCTAAGTGACCACCTTCTCTGTTGTCTCTGCAGGTGATCCAGGCTTGCCACTCTTGTCCCAAAGCCATTGAAGTTGTGGTCAATGCCTACGAGCACATCAGGTGGAACATGAAGTGGAGGAGAGCTATTCCCGACGACGTGCTGGAGGTAAATAACCCACCCCCCGAGAGCTGCCAGATGTGTTTCAGCACGCAGCCTTCCGATGTAAAACATTGCTTTGGAGAGTGCTTTCCAAGTTTTCTCATATGTAATGAAGCAAAGGATTATAAAATACAAGAAGGAGAGTGTAAATCTCTTCCTGTGTATGCCTGCCAAACAGGTGATACTAAGGAGTCTCGGGGAATTTCTCTGAAAGAATTTGAATAACTATATGAACGTAGCAGTTTTATTTTTCATCAGTTTGAATGAGTTAAGTGATAATATGTGGTATTGCTCATTCAGAATTTTGTTCTGGAAAAGTATGGTGTTTTATGTAGATATTTCACACACTTTTATCTAGGACTAAGCAGGAAACATTGTTTCAGAGTCTGCAGTGAGCCAGGCAAAGCCTTGGAGCCATGCCCTCACCTGTGGACTTAGAGACTTCGATCCATGTGATAACTAGTCCTTCCCACAGAACATCTTGTTCTTGACTTTAGAAATCAAGACTGTGTCTAATACATGGGAGATACCAGGCACAAAGTTCCCCGGGCTTAGAGGCCAATAGCTTCATTGTTTAATCTTACTCTGCTACTTATTAGCTCTTTAACCTTTGAAAGTTATGTGCCTGCTAGTCACTGCTAGTGGATATTCCCAGGTGCAGAAAGAACATGCTATGATATCGAGCTAAATTAAAATTGCCATTTTGGTTTGAAGTGGTTCAGCCAGTTCAGGCATGTCTGAACAGGTTTGTGAATGTGTTTGCCCCTTCTCTTACCAGCACTGCCGTGCCTCACTTCCTAACCTTCCCAGTTTAATGTTGGAAATGCTGGAGAACTATTGCTGTGTGTAAAGTAGAGACGCATGTGCCACTGTGGATTTCCCCTTTGTATGCTGTGGAGCCTTCCTTGACTTAAGCTCCCTTTTGCCTTGCTTTCCAGAAACACTGGGATTTCTACCACTCTCTCTTCAAGGTGTGCTGCAACACTCCCCGGACCCTCATGCATCTATCGAGATGTGCCATCCGGAAGGCGTTGAATGAGAGATGCCACAACGCAATTCCTCTGCTGTCCCTCCCCTTGCCATTGAAGAAGTACTTGCTTTTGGAGCCAGAGGGAATCATTTATTAAGTCTTAGGAGACAACAGTTCCCAATCCTAGATGTTTAAGTGGGCTTGCTGGGTAGGCACAGTTTGCAGATATAAAATGGTACTTGGGTTGATTATATCACTTTAGGGCTTACAGAACACTTTACACACAACATGTCATTAATCCTAGAGTAGCATGCTGCGGGAAAATAAGCAAGTCAAGTTAAGGAATTTTCAAAGACATGACTGCATTTAGAAGGCAGGCACCGACATAGCAGTGATAGCGTGTATAGCGACAGCTTTTATTAGATATCCTGATGTGTTTTGTGAATCTTCCACACATGATCTTATCTGAAAAGGGACCCACATTTTCTTACAAACTAATCTCATTCTCCACATTGTCAGTAATAGGTTTACATGACTTTTAATTTGCAGTGTATCAGGTTTTGTGAATGGCTTCTTGAGCTTGCTGTCTCCTGCCGATGAGCAGTGCGCAGACATCACTGTTACTAGTGTTAGAAATGCCTCCTCTCCAAATTAAGGTCATCCACCTTCTTTTGGTGATAAAAGCACAGGAGTGCAATGGGAACAAGAAAGAAATGGGAGAGAGAGCGCAGTTCACTGAATAGTCAAGGAATAGACATTTCAATTTGAGCACACTCACTGAGCCGGATCCTGGAGCCCACAGATGAGCCGACAAGGACTTCTGTCCTCCAGGGTCATATCTTTAAAAGAGGATCCAGACGTCCAAGCAGGTGACTGCAGTGTGAGGTGGCGGGGCGAGAGTACAGGTGCAGACCCGTATCTAGCGCTTACCTTTCTGGCACGTGCTTTTGAGCTTGAAGCGTGGGCTTTCTTTTCCTTTGAGCCATGAAGACAACGCATGGAGAGTTATGTAGAGGGACCTGCTACTGTTCACGTAAATGTCTTTGAGTTTCTCCATATAATCCAGTCAGGTTTTATTTTGTATGGTTTCCTACTTAATACCTTCACAGACTCTGAGAAAGATATTCTATGCCCCGGATCCCACTAGGATGAGAAAGAAGTTTAGAGAAGTGGGCAAAGGCACGCGTGAAAAAAAGAACTTAGCTGATTTTCTTGTCTTCTCAAGGATTAGACTGATATTTCAGAGCATTGTAGCTGATAGATAAGAAACCTGCATTTTAACAATGGCTCCCGTTGACTATAAGCAGAAAGACCTTGAAATGGCGAATCTTTAAGAAGCATAGAAAGAAACATGTTGTTTAAGACTTAGTGTTCCCTAATAGAATCCTGCTGATAGGCTGCTTGGAAAACTCTGCTTCACACATTTGCTTCTCACTGATGGAGTTAGATTAGTTTATTGTCTCTGGGCACTGATTCTGTAGCAGTTAAAGTAGTAGTAAACTGTAGACTTTGTGCCTACTGTCGTGGGCAGACTTTAATTTGTGTGTGGCCTTGTTCCTTGTGTGTTGTGGGACCTGTGGTGTTGACTAGAGACGATGTAGCTCCCCACTTAGCTTTGTGAATTGAAACCCCCACTTCCAGTGTTGTGTAGAAAAACCTGTAGGTGGATGTGGTCATATTTTTGAAGTTGCAGTTTAGCTAAGCTAATTTCAGAAAAAAATATATTCTGAATAAAACAAGATCTCTATCGCAGGACATAATGTTCAATTTGTAGGTGACACATAAGAAATGAACCGAGTGTTCTTTAGAACATAACCCAGAATATTCAAAGGATTGGACTTTTCTCTTCATCACCAGGAACACTCTGGTTGAAAAGTCTGTGGTAGACTTATTGGTAACAGGTAAAGCGGGACTGAGGACAATCAGGAACGGTGTTCCTCACATAGAGAGATGGAAGGGTTTGTCACCGTGTTGCTGTGTTGGAATGTTTGCCTCAGTTGAGCATAGAATACGTGGCTACTCGTTTTGAATTGCTCGTGTGTGGATTTACTGTGATTATCTCTGTACTTTGACCTTGAATTTAGAGATCTTAAATAAAGCTTTGGTGTTCCATCTCATTGTTGTGAGTTATTTATCAGTAAGCCTCATTTTCCTCACACAATACTGACTCTTCAACAGGGACACAGGAAAAAAATTAGTCATTTCACTGCTTCCTTCAACATTAAAAAAAAGAGTGGCAGAATCAAGAACTGGACCTGCCAACAAATAGTGTATTTAAAAGAAAGGGAAGGGGGAAAGGTAGCTGGAACAAAATAAAATGGAGGCTACTGCCGTTTCAGTAAGTGTACTTTAATAATAAGAAGTGAATTGAACTGAATGCATCTGGCCCACTTCTCACCGTCCCCGGCATCCGGTGCTTTTCATTTTCCTCCATTCTCACTGTTTACTTTACCCTGGACAAAGCAACAGAGGAAATTGTACCTTCATGACGCCTTTGTACTTTCTGGAAGAGTGGTCTGTAAACAGACATCTATCGTCCCAAAGAAAAATAGCTCTCTTCAGAGTGTGGCAGCTTCGATACGAGGAAGAGCCTCCTCTCTGGTCTTCTGGCCTCCCTCCAGCTACACATGCCTGTGCTCCTCTTTAATCATCCAGGGTTACAGCTCTAGGTGGCCTCCCATTTGGAGTTCAGGAGGTTCTGATACTAACACAGTAGCCAGAAGAAGATGGGGCAGTGGAGGGGGGGGTGGGTAACAAACCATTTGCAGTGAGTTATCATCTGGGGTAAGACAGTGACATGTTCCATCTTGGCTATTCATCTGATCGACCGTGACAAAATCATGAAATTCTGGCTTCATACACTTTTTGAAACTTTTAAATAAGAGATTAACTATTGACTAATTTTCTTTGAATGCAAGTATCACAACAAGGACCCAAAAAAGATTACATGATACTTGCTATACAATGCTAGGCAGACACACTGAAGTTTGGGCCCTGGCGATGGTCTTGTTCAGATCCTGTTCGTCCCCTCATCTGACCCAAATCAATGGACAATGGTGCATCTCCTCCCTGCTTTAGTTCGCATCAGTAGCATGGAACCAAGGTGCTACTTACCCCACAACACTTTAGTAAGGTTATTTTTTCAGGGCTAAATCAATACAGAAAATGCTCCACAGTAAGCATTTTGTTGTTCTCACAATCTTTGATACTATTATAGTCTCTGTGGTTTAGAAATAGGTTCTACCAGTGGGGTAATGTAACTAACCTTGGCCTAAAACTATCACTAGAGCAGATATACGGGAAACAAGGTAGGTAGACTCTCACTGAGGGCCAGGCTCTTCAGGGATGAGGAGGTCAGTGAAGAGAGGATAGATAAGATCTGGAACCTCCCCAGGCCTTTCTGAGGCAAATAGGGGAGGAGCAAACATTGGTGTGGAGGATTGGCAACAAGTAAGCCGATGACTTTTCAAAACATTACCTTTCATAAATAAGTTTACATGGGGGCAATGGCTCCTGTCTCTATCTGGTTGGTTGTCACCTAAAAATTTTCCATAGGGACAAAGGTGGTTGCCCTTCTGTTTCTGTCTTCAGTGATAAAGGAACAAGAGGACCCAATGAGTGTAGCTCAGTAGGAGATTCCCAAATGCAGGCTCCTCATCAGAGTAGGAACTGGGAAGGCTGGAGAAATCTGTTCATTGATTCTTTTTCTCAGAATAATTCATTTAGCACCATTAAACATGCTGTGGGCTAAAAGCAGATGAGACAGAAAGTGGTTCACAAGTATTGACTATTGAGTGCTCACTTGCAGAGTCAGACAGTGGTGGCGCACACCTTTAATCCCAGCATTTGGGAGGCAGAGGCAGGCAGATCTCTGAGTTTGACACAAGTCTCTTCTACAGAGTGTTCTAGGGCCACCAGTTCTAAACAAAGAATCCCTGTCTTTAAAAAAGAAAACAACCCAAAACAAACAAACAACCCCCCAAAGATTCACTTTCAGTACCACAGTGCTTTAGTCTTTTACTAGGAAATCAAGAATGAAAGGGTACAGAGTTTGTTATAATTAGATACTATCTACTTGAGTTGAGCTTGTTTTACTTTGTCTTTCAGTTTGTTTGTTTGTTTTGATCATAAACTGATTGACGGGGTTGAGTTTTGGAAGCCACATTTGAAGCTGAAATCAGTGCTACCTTGCCTTAAGTGTGTGGTCATAGCTGCCACTGAGGAGATGCCACACATAACACAGCCTGGCTTTCTCCTCCCCTCCTGTCTTCTGAAGCAACACGAAGTGGAATAGCTGTGTTTAAAGTTGTTCTTTGCTAATTGGTTTTCTCAGATAGAGGTATGCCTCAATGGTGTTGGGTAACAATTATGCAAATACATGCTAATTCAGCCCAGGGAATGAAATAGTGGTGCTCTTTGTAATTTCAAAATTAAACACGACCCTGGATTAGTTAGGTTTTTGTGCTTACCAACTAGGGAGGAGCTAACCAAACAAGAGTTCTCACCATGGGGTATATATGGGGAGGTCGAGGATGACAAGTCAACCCAGGAGCCCAGATACTGTGTGCTCAGAGACATAAAGGACGACCTAACCTCCCTCCTCTTTCCAGGTTTGGGGAAAGTTGGAAGTCAGTATATGGCTAATGGGCAGTTAAGTTCTAGAGAAAATTTTAAGCCATTTGACAGAGGAAGGGAGCGGTGCAACCTGAGCTCCCCTTCCAAACCCATTCCCCCTTTATCCTACTCAGGGTCTTGGCAGAGTGACTTCCATTCAAATCTCAACTGGATCCTTGCTCCTTGGGTCCAGTCAATGGGAAGAACAGCAGGAGATAATCTAGTCCTGGCTCCCTCTTGCTGAGCTGCTTGCGAGGAAGGGGCGGGTTCCTTGACATGACCACACCACCTGTGAGAGGCCTCTCATATGTTTCTCCTCTCCCTGGATTATTGGAGCTGCTCCCTTTGTTCCTTCGGACCTTGAGGAAGACAAGGTTTCCACTGACCAGCATTTGCCCCTGATCAGAGCACTTCACCCCTCTTTGCTGATTCCTCTGTGAATAGACTTTGATTAAATTCTCTCCAATCCTTCTTTTGGGTCCTCTAGGGATCTTGAGGTGCAAAAACATACAGCATCGCCCAGGCAATGAGAGCCTGGGGTAGCCTTGTTTAACGGAACTGGGGTGGTCACTGTGGCCAGGGAAGGCAGTCAGCAGACAGACAGGTGGGCTAGATCCATGACGTGAGAGAGGGTGGGGTGGAGACAGGAGAACTGCTGAACAGACATTAAGGTTAGAGAAATCGTTGGCACTGGAGCCGATAGTGAGAGTCGCCAACACCTGTCACATAGAAACAGTGGAGGGAGAGATGACCATTTTCTATAAGAGGGCAGAATCAGGACAGAAATTGCTAGCACCATATGGTAAAATGTCTTAGATCGTGAGAAAGAGTTCTGGAGAAACATATTATCACTATCATCTCCTTAATTCATCAAACTAACAAACAAATGAAGAACAAACACACAGTGCTGAGAACGTACAGACGCATGCCTGTAAAACTCTCCAGTCTTCCAGACTGATTTACTCTTGAGGGCGGAAGGGATTACATTCTGAAATATCCTTCCATTTTAAAATATCCAAGTATAAGGACTTTTGAAAAATCTATTAAGGAAGATACTCTTTCCCAGGGCACCAGGGACGGACAGAAGGACAGACGGGAAGCAGGCTTTGGAGATTCGGGGCCTCTGGAGTTCCCAGCAAGGCAGGACTCAGTAATGAATTGTTTGTAGAGGAAGAGGTATGATCACAGCCCTTCAGGGTCACCTCAGGACTGATATCAGATGGACCATGAGAGGCTCTGAGGACAGTCAGTCCATCGGGGAAAGATAGGTGTCAGCAAATTTTATCTTAAGTAACCACTGTTAATTCTGTAGTGACGTCATAGAGAGGTCAAATGTTGACCGCTGAGCTAGCTCTGTCGTGAGGTATAGGGCAAGCACCTTGATGGTGCCGTTTATTAACGGTGCACAATTCCTTCCCATGGGAGACGTGAACACCATATACCCCCTCTCCTAAGGGCTCAGGGAAAAACTGAGGCAGGATTCCACTGAATTACACCCTGGGAAATCAGTGAGTTCATTGAGTTTCCTTGCAGAACATAGGTGAGAGGTTACTTACATGACTGTGGGTGCTCCCACACTGCAGCAAGCGACATCTGGAAAGTGTTTGCCTAGCAGGAATGGTGCTGTCCCTTTAACAGACAGCACTCCCCGCTAGTCTTTCCCTGGTCTATACATACCCAGACTGTATGCAATTAAGGCAGGGTTGCTCTATATTCCTGTGAGGGTGTGGTGACCTTTAACATCTCTAGCAGCCTGTGTGCACCCTCAACAGGCCCAGCTGGGATGATCCTTTTGGAAGGAGGCTCTGCTTAACTCCCCAAGATGTTGGAGGACAGTCACAACAGTAATCTCTATGAGTTTAGTCAGCTTTTGACCTGGAGTGTCAATTCTTCTTTTCGTTTCTTTCTTTCTTTTTTTTTTTTTTTTTTCAGTGTTGGGGCTTGAACCCAAGTCTTTCCAAGGGCTAGGGAAACACTGTCCCATGAAGTCATTAACCCAGCCTTCGCTTTTAATTTAGATAACCATGATTAAATACTTTGTACACAAGACCCTCTGGGGAATGAAATAAAATGACACCCATCTTGTGTCTGAAACTCATGGGTGTCTTTGATCTCCTATCAGTGGTTGGAAGGTGCCCACTGTCTGGAGACGCTTACACTGTAGTGATGCTGTGTTGGACAGCATGCCCAGGCGTGTAAGGCTGAGACACAAATTCTGTCTAGTTTATTGCCTTTTCCTTGTGTCAACTTCCCGAACTATGAAGTCACCCAGCAAAGTGTAGCAGTTGGAGCCAATTTATTAATGGCTTTGACTTTTGGTAGAGTGGTCTGAAGGGAACACTGCAGAACTTTCTTCTGCCACACTTCTGCTGTGCAGAAGGAGGCAACAATGAAGCTTCGGTTGTGGCTAGATTTTCTGTGTAC